AATAATTTCTTTCTATTTTGAAAATAATGAACATACCATAACAGCTTGAATTGTTGTTGCTTCTGCACTGATTGCATTTGCATCAAAACCAGAAAGTGCCTTACCATTGTACGTTATTTTTGGTTTTATATGAATTAATTCTGAGAACAAACCTTTCAGTATGAACACAATAATCCATTAATATGCATTATATATGATATAGCACTTATGACGTTATAACCGAGGCACAAACCACCTCATAACTTTTTAATCACCCGCAACACATAAAACACCAAAACAGAAGACAATTTCACGAACACTATATTCCCGATTAGCATTGTAGCTCGTTGCATTCAATATTTTTTAAATGATGCAGTCAAAATTTTGGTGTCTTCTTGTAGAGCACATATTCACATCAAAATAAGCAAAAATTCTACATTCTCACGATGACTTTTCCTCAATTCAGAGGCTTTCAAACAGGAGATCACAGCAATGCAAATTCACTTGCTGAAGGTAGTTGAAGTTAAGTAGATAGGAACAGAACAATAAGAAGATTCACATTGCTTTCTTTGATTGACAGTGATATTGATATTTACTTTTAATATAAGCAATATTATTTATATCAGTCATTGCTTGATTCAGTTTCACACATGAAGTCAGTCTTTTCAAATGCCTTACAGATTGCAACTTTACCAAATTACTTGAAAGAACTACTGGAATCTTTTCGTTCCTTTTACCGCTGTTCGCCACTCAGCTAAAAAGTCTAGCTTTCAAGTAACTACGCAGTTAAATTCCTCAAACTTGAACTTCGAATTTGGCAGCTAGCCGAAGCACGCAAATCCTCGAAACGTTCGTTTATATAAGCATCCAGTAAAGTAAATAATGTACATGGAATGTTTGTCAAGCATTTGAGAGAAGATGAAATATGCATTTAGTTTTTGTCATTTACTTTTATTAGTTGTACAGGCATTAGGTTTTCTCGAAGCAGGTGAGATGAAAAATGAGGAATGCCCTCGCCGAGACTCGAACCACGGATCTCTCGAATACGCGCCTAGTGTGCTGGCCTTCACACCACGTAGGCATGCTAAGAAGTCGGGAGAAATATCTTGTATAGTAAATTATATTGTTTTCCTAAACTACATATGCATTTATTTTCAACATTTTATTGGTAGCAAGTATTAGTAAATTTATATTAAATCTTTTAAAGAATAGGGTCATGAGGTTTATTTAAAATTTACTATCTTTTTTGCAATCTCTGAACTTTGAAACAGTTAGCAATATTTTATTTTTTGCGTGATGAAAATTTCTTTTTGTGGTATTTCATTCATTACATTAATTTTTGCTTCTATCATCAAATTTTGCAAATGTATCCGATTTAAGCATTTTCTGGTGTAACGATCACAATGAGTGATTTTGTACAAGCGCTTCTATTTAAATCTAGACACAAAATAAGGCTGCATGCTAACTATTCGGAATGCAGTTTAACACCAAATGAAATGATAATACCGTCATCGATGGAATTTAAGCGATTATAACTAGAAAGAACATTTCATACATTAGAACCCAAAGAAAATATTAAGAGCTTCTTTTAGCTGCAATTTAAAATCCTGTTATGGCTGATACTAGTGATGACGATGCTTTGAAGTGAACATAATATAATGTAGGAAAAGAGAAAGAATCTGAAATGGGTTAAGTGCGAAGAGGATAAAAACGATGTATACTGTATTAGAGTAAGTTATTTGAAATGGACTCTCGGACAAAACAGCAGAATAGCGATGTGAACTGTATTACTGTGATTTAACACGTGCAGTTAAATTAATAGGGATTTTTAATTAAATCACAATTTCGCATGGTGTAAACTTTTTTATATAAAACATATCATAATCCATTTTTCATCTAAATCATGAGCCTTTATTTTTTATAGTAAAAATTTTGAAAAAAAAAAGTTAACGGATTGGACAAGAAAGTAAAATACATTTATTACGGAACCCTGTATTAACAATCTGTACGTGATAAAATCGAAAACAAAAATACACGCTCGATATACCTTAATATAAATTTGTCAAATCATTAACTTCCCAATGAAAGAAATCAGCCTAATCTCTAATACGAGTAGATCAAAAGAAATTAAACATTAAGATGCACTATTTAATTGCATCAACTAATTGCTTCAAAACAACTAGAATGTGAATTTCCGGTTGCAGTGTAAATCGTCAAAGAAATATCTGAGCAGATCGATATCGTTGAGGGTTTACTCCCACTGTATAAGGTTATATAGGGGGAAAACGTGTTTTTAAGCTTCTCTTTCTTAGGGATTAGAGACTGGTGGAACAGCAGTAAGAGGACAGCCTATTCAATAATCGCCAAGTAGTCTCCCTCACGTCGCACCTACCTTTTCCTGAACGGCTTAATTAAGAATCAAGGGAGCGAAGAAATTTCTTCCTAAAGGTGCGGAGTTGCAGCTTATCATTAGAAGTCTGGCTCTTTAAGCATTAAAAAAAATCGTTCTTTAAGTTTATTTTAGAGCGGGACTCCAAGCAAACGGATTTCCTTTTCTCCAAGATCACGTACGTAAGTAACTATAATTTAGCTTTCCTTCACAGTGATTAAAAATGTTTAGGTGTGAGAAAGTGTGACAATTTAAACCGAATTGAATTCAATTGTCACTCTTTCATCACCAGGTTAATAAAATTTGTTTTCTCTACGACTGAAATGACTGGTTACAATTGGTGAACTGCAACATTTAGTGGCTCTTAATAGAAAATTTTTTAAAATATATAAATGTTTGAATGGAGCAGGGTTCTCAGAAAAAATAGAATTCGAAAAGGAATTTTATATAAATGACTCTCAATAAGTGCCGAGTCTAAGACTTGAATTGATCCCATAATTTATCCAGCTTTTCCTTAACTGAATAAATATTTCAGCATATGTACGTACGACACATATGCAAGCAAATGCCACTTTACTTTTAAGAATTCACGCACATTGTGAGTAGATAAATTCAGATCATATTTGTTTATAAAGACAACCATGGAATAATCTTACTTAGAAAATCATGTTATTATCTTACACTATCTCATGCAAAATTATGGAATTAAATCATATTTCAAGAATAAGTACTGAAATATTGGCGAAAAGATTAATATTTTATTCTCTAAAATTTACCGATATGAATCGAATTTAATCTACAATGTAACGTATTTTTCATTAAGACAAAAATGTTAAATTGATCTTTTATTTTTTATTGTTAATACCTTCGTCGACACTTTTGAGAAGGACCTTAAAAACACGCCACTATAATAATATATCGACGCGCTATTTACAGAGGTGTTAAAATTGCATTCAAATGAATTCTTTATAGTACTCTACTTAATTTGGCTATAACATCTCGAGTTTTCTAAAACTTCATGGAACAACAATTTTGGCCTTAACTAAATTTGCCAGTTTGGCATCATCATTCTTACTTGAGCAAAGACGAAACACCTTCGCATTTATTACTTATTATTCATTGAATGGGAGTTGGTTTGTTCCCCTTGAAAAGGCAACTAATTTCCGATCAATGACGATAATTACTTGGTTTATTAATTTTCTTTTTCAAAGTTTGAATTTCTATTTTTCATGATTTAAATTCAAGTACATATAATTTTTTTCAGAATTTAATTTCATACTTCTGGGTTACTTCATTTAGATACATTCTATTAAATTTATATTAGGAGATAATATAATCAATATTTCTTTAGTAAATAAATTATTATTATCTTACTTTGCAACTATTGAGCAAGTATTAGAATTTTGTTTTCGATTTCAATGAATTTTAGTTCATTCAATATTTGATATATATATATATATATATATATATCATATATATTTAAATGTAAATACGAGTATGAATGTTTTGTCTGACCTTATCCGTGCGCATCAAATAAACCTTCACACAGGGACAAAGCCGTACGCTGTAGGATTATATAAAAAAAAGCATCTTTTTTTCTAATATAAAATTATCCAACCAATCACCTTGTGTTTGGCGTAGATTTTAGGGAAGGCTCAATTGAATAACTTTCTTTTCCAATTAATCAATATTGCTTACTTGGAAATTTTAGTACCATGTATTTGACAACGCTTTTGAATTATGGACTAGGAATATTTCTCTTCGGTCAGCGCAGAAACTTATCCTCCAAACAACTGCTTGTTTACATTTGAAATTTTGAAAGAAGATTAAATTTCAAAGTAGCAGACTCTATTTTTCATTTCAAATAATAACTTTTTCCTTAAGTTCCCGGCGCTGGCTGTATTTTGACCTGACATTCTATCACACACACACACACACACATATATATATATATTCATGTAATTATTTTAAAGAAGTTTAAAAAAAAAACAATTAGAAAATGAAATACAACCTAGAAAAAAATTGCGCAATGTATTTTGAAAATAATAAATCAAAATCTCAAAAATCAGAACGAAAAAGAAAGTGCTGCATTAAATATTTGAAAGCTAAATCTATTTCCTCCGTGCAACAAATTAAACTTTTAAAACGCAAATTAAAGAAAAATTCCAAATTGAAAACAGAAATTTCATTTCAAAAGAGCAAAACTTACAAAAAACGGAAAATTAGTACAGATTAAAACGGATATATATTATAGTTCGGATAATTATTTCCCGTTAAAAGGAAATGTTCATGTATTGAGACTTTGAATTCTGGAGTTTCCTACACGTTTTCCATTAAGGAACAAAGACTGACATTGAAGAGTTTTAGTTATTTCCGTTTTGAGTTATAGAAAATTCTTTCTCGTATCCCGGCTCTCATCTCTTTCTATTTATTCACTTTAACTTGGTTCAAAATTTCGAACATCCCCTCTGGCAGCTTTGAATTCTTGCACTTCAAGAAACAGCCAAAATGAAACAGTGAAGTCAGACGCCTCTGGAAAGAAACAAGGAGTGGAGGGACTTAAAATCAATATTTCCATCCGACCCTCGCCTCTCAATGGTATGATCCCCATACACTCTCCGGATCCACTTGCTCCCGAATCTCCGCCATTGCGCAGTTAGATCAGGTGGTGGTAACTTGGCCATGGCCCTCCAGTTCTCATGACCTTTGTTTCCTGAACCTGCAGAAGGTATGTAGAAAGTTTTTTTTTTTTTTTTTTTCCTAAATTCTCAAAATAGTATGTTGCCTTTTGTTTTGAACGTCATAGAAAGAAACTGTTAATTTTTACTATGCCGGGAAAAATTTTGAATGACTCAAAATTTTTTTCCAATGTCGTAGAGATAGCTCATGCTGTTATTGTGTTTGGGCTTGAAGTCCCCATATAATAACTTTTTACATTTGTTCTATTGACACTGCATTAAGATGAGTGAATTTCTAAATTAAATTTTGGAAGAGGTTCGCATAGTTGCATGTTGTTTTTTTCCGAAATATGTTTTGATATACATTTTCTTTCAGCAAGTAAAATATGTCTTGGCTACTATCACTTGAGTTTAGTTACTGTCATAAGACCCAGATACAAAAATTTTGATTCTTGTTAAGTCCCAATAACAATAAAGTCCCAGTAACAATTAGTAACAATAGTCCCAGTAACAATTAATATTGTTACGGAAATGTCAAACAACCTTTTATTTATCTTTAATTTATATACTACTATTTGTCACATGAGTGGAGCGAGACATGATATGAAAACTGTTATTAAACTGAATAATTCGCCTTTTAAGGCAAAGTTTTTATGGTGTGCATTAAATTAAATAAAGGAGTCTTATTTAATAGGAGAAAGCTTTTTATTCCATATTTACATTTAAAGCTATGCCATTAGAGGCGGTGAAATCCGCCGTGTCAAATAACTGCACCTGAAAATTTTATTTCATTTGTATGAACAGAAAAATCAGGAAACTTTAGTCACAGTTTTCACTTGTATTTTGCTCCAAAAAACCCTAGAATATAGTTTTGATGATCTGGATTTGAAATGTGATTCTGATAGTCCTTCCTATCATCTAAAAATTAATATTATACATTTGAGCTTAAAGTAACAGATGGAAGATAATTAATAGTGACCTTTAACTGCAATAAAAATTACTATCTTAAATAAATTTCGTTTTTATTCAAATTATGTGAATTCTAGGTAATCGGTTTACTTTACGCAATACAAAGTAACAAAGTAAAGACACAGTAGATAAAATACTAACATAAATAATCAATATTACTTCGATACATCGGTTTACTTTACGCAATACAAAGTAACAAAGTAAAGACACAGTAGATAAAATACTAACATAAATAATCAATATTACTTCGATACATATGCATAATTAGTTAATTATATATATTACATATTTTCTAATATTTTATGATTTGAACTTTAATATTTATCGCTAAATATTTTTCAGTTCAAAGTGTAGATATCGTATGTTGCTTCAAACGATGCTAACAGGACCAATGGTTTCAGATATACAGAGTGCAAACTCGAAATCGCACCATTTTAGGCCAAGGTTCCGTTCATGAACAAAAGGCTTGCATTTCTCAAATTTCATTAAAAAATAAAGAAACATTATTTAACCAGAACATAAAGATAAGTAAACCATATACCATGCTGAAAAAATTTCAACGAAAAATAACAAACTGGCGGCTAAAATTTACTTCATGTCATTAAATAAATGTCACTTATATTTTTATTTTGGAACTTTCTCATGATTAGTTATTGTTCAATTTTTGTGAATGTTATGCTTTTAAAATTGTAACTAAATTAAGTGATATCGGAACTTTCCTTAAGATGAATTAATTTCTATTTTTTGCATTTTGTATTTTATTTCAATAATAGTCATGTTTTTGTTCAGTAACAATTTTGATATTTTGTAATTTGTAATTCAGCTGCATTAAATTATAAATAGGTTTTACTTTTATTTAAATAGTTTTTAGTTAAATTTTTATAAAATAAGGAAAAGGTATTATATTTTGCTTAATTAGTAGCAGTTCTCTTCTTCAGGCATATTTATAAACAAATGTGAGTCCAACTACGTCATAAATAAATACAAAGTGAATCTAAAAAAGGAAGCAAAACGTTACGGAGTAATAGAACGCAGCTATACGAGTAATAGTCATCATAGATTGCATGGTCGGAACGCAAGCGTTGAAAAGTTAAAGTCAGTTTTCCACTGTCACATTTAAAGATTTAACACAAGAATGAGAGGAGATACTTTAGAAAACATTTTATTAACAGGAATGTAATTGATGTGCATGCTCAAAGAAATTTCTAAAAAGACCTTCCGGCAGCTATAATGCAGGATTCAAACCTGAAGGATAGGGATTGACGCACGTTTGCGAAGACACCAGGCATTTACTAGGTATCGCCGGAAATAACTGCGATCCTGGCGACTAGATCCATTTTAGTTTCAAAGGGGCAGTCGTAGAATAGGCTTTTCATATGACCTAACAGGAAAAATTTTAAACACGAAAGATCCGGTGATCTTGGTGCCCAAGCTATGGTACCATCCCAACCAATCCATGACCCTGGGAACTTTGCATCTAAAGCTATGCAATGCTTTCTTGGGAACCACAGCAGTCTGAGTGTCAAGGGCAATTGTCTTAATAGTCTGCATTCATGTAACCCATGTAACCCAGTGGCACACTAGTTTGGGACAATTCCGAGGCACCAACTGGGATTTCAACTGCCATACCCGAAAATATTCTGTACACCACAGTCGTAGAAAAAATAGTCATATGTCCTCATGGGCACACTCAATGGAAGGTTACAAAATCAAATATTTCTCCAGCTTCCAACGTCCTTTTGCTTTAATGATTGCCACAATACATAAAATTACGAGACTGCATCATCAAATATCATGCCAGGTCTCATGCAATTATATATTCAAGTAGAACAAGAAGCACACGTACCAGTCACACAGTTCAGTACCACAGCAACAAGAAACTTTTCCAGGACGTCTACGAGCGTACAGCGCCGCAAACCCATATTCATCCTACAATAGAAGATCAAGGAATACACGTAAAACGAAGGAGTCAGATGTGAGTTTTTTCATCTGAACCAGGTTATGCGATCAGATAGGAAAGGACATTTGAACTCTCACAACAATGCTTTCCAAGCGAATCCGATATTAATAATCAAACCACTCAAAAATATTGCAGCAGAAAACATACATCATCCACGCATATACACCGACAGTATGTCCACATTGTACGCCATTGTCAACAGTACGCATACATCACCAGTTATAACCAAAATGTAGCATGACCTATGAAGACTGCAGCGACACCACCTTAGTCTTTAGTGGACAAAAGCGTATGTAGGCGATACTGACAACGAAATCGCCGACAGACTGGCAAAGGAGGCTGCCAATAACAACCCCGAAATTCAAGACATTCTACTACCCAATTCATATCTCAAGCATCAACTCAAGACCAAACCCTACATCCTATGTAAAGAAGAATGCAACACCATACAGTAAGGAAAATGCACTCATTATCATATACCAAAAGTAACTATACACCACAACATCTTCATTCTACAATTAAGACGTTTCATCAATGGACACGAACCCTTCCAGGCAATTTTACAGATTAGAGATTTCAAATAATGATCGTAGCGTATGTGACTAGCAAGGTACTTCGGAAAACTACTTAACGAACTTCCAAATAGCAGAAGTGCTACATATAAAGTTTCCAAACAACAATCTGCGAGCTATCAGTAAGATTCAATTAAGGAACTTCACTTAATACAGAAAATCAACAAGATAATGGATGTGATTTCCCAGCATGAAAAGGACTGCTACGTAATAAAAGGACTCATGGCACAACAATTTACTATGGCATTTATTTTATAGCATAACAATACTTCCAAAAAGGCTATTATGTTGATGGACATTTTACATATATCAAGATCTCTGTAACACAAATGACATATGAACTGATGTGACTTGACTCATGGACGTATGAAATGATGTTTCATGTCTTGAATATGAACTTTTCTACATTTGTCTATTGACTAATTTAGCACTTTGCTCAAAATTAAAAATCGGATTTGTTAATTCACTCATACATCTATGTAATAACTGTATATACGTAATGATCATAACATATTGTGTTTCATTGGGTTTTTATTGCCTATTTAAGCAAACTACACCCTGTTGTATGCTACTATATTCTTTTGTGTATTATTATGTATATAATCTAACTACCATCTGATTGCAGACAACCGTAACATTGTAGTAAGCACTTAAACTACAATGTTATGGTTGTCTGCAATCAGATGCACAATGGAAATGCAATTGCAGATGTACAGTGTACTTTGCTAGCCTACAGAGGATGTTTGCCTCCCTATCGGACGCTCTCCTCTTCGATAGTGATGGGCGCAGGAGCAAAGCCGACCAATCTATGGTAAACAGACGGCACCCCCGTCCTTCATCAACAATTATTTGCTAATAGTAACGGCACTCACAGAATGCTATAGAAAAGCGATCACTTCTCGCTTAATGCCCATAACCGTAGCAAAGGAAGTAGTTTGCGCATGTCGGACAACAATTCGATCTACCCTCATTGTAATCTGTGGGAGTATCCTAGAGCCTGCATAACTTCAAATGCCGCCAACAACAATCATACAATCATATCTGCGCAATTAGTGTGGCATGCAATATGCCATGAACGCATGAATAAGATCGCGAAGGAGGCAAAATGAGAAATATAAGAATTTAATTTGCCGTCCAGACGGGAAAGTAGTTAGTAACGCTGACTGCCGTCGAGACTTGTCATTTCGTTAGCTTATTAGTATTAATCACTTATTTTAAATATTTATGCATTTTGCAGCTCTTTTAACAGTTAAAATTTAAGTTCAGTACAGTTTTACGCAGTTCATTATGCAAAAGCGTAACAAATTTTCATGAATGAATAATTCCAATTCGCAAAACTATTATTGTTACCAAAGCGGAATTATGTAAAATCTGCATTACTCGCTTCTAAGAACATACGGTTTTATAACCTTTATATCAATGTATGCTATTAGTAGCTCTTACGGAAAGCCAAATGAAACTGAGCTGTTTATATGAGAAACTTTATAAGTTCCATATTTTAATCAAGTGTGTTCGTGAGTAAACACATATTGCATACTGGCGTGAATGATAGCCGTAATAAATAATTAACATACAATAATTAAAGCGAAATTTAAAATTTTTTATTAAGAAGGAAATGATTAGCATCAAGAAAAATGCCAGAGATGCACGAACTTTGTAGAAGCGTTAGAAAATCAAGGGAACGTTTTTGCTATCCACAAACTTCTGCAAATATAGAATGGAATCAGAACCATTTTTTAACTTGGTTATTTGGAATTCTTTTAATATGATTTTATAGAGCAACGGTGAGGATTAGGAAAATATATTTTGAATTAAAGATGAGGTAACATGAGATACGGGCATTCATACTGTAGTTCTTCAGTTTTTCTTGAGTTTATTATATTTTACATCTGTTAAATATGCTAAAGAAAATGGTACTTCAGACAAAAATATTTAGAAGTGAGCTTCTGGAGTTCCAGTTTTACTAAATCAAAAATGTTTGGACTGATAGGTTATGGACTTGTTTCTGTAATAACTTTCAGATATCGTTAAAGTTCTTAGTATTTTAATTAGTGGGATATATATAACTTATTAGTTTTTAGAATTACCATAGTACTCATCCATATATCCGAAAATTAGTTTTATTAAATAAAAGCATGAACGAGACCAAAAGTTGTCTAATCAGGTTAGTAAAAAACTCACAAAGAGTGCACAAAACGGATAAAACCGAAAATTTGGCGTTCGAGTGTTCATTCGAGCTCAGACTTTGATGGCAAACACTGAAATGCACATCTTTGGTTCGCAAGGTCTCAACCTCGCAAACGATTGCAACAAGTTAATTATTTAATCAAAGGCTGAATATTATCAACTAACCCCTTCGCCATCTTCTATCCTGTCCTCCTGGACATACTGTGCTGCGCTCATTCTACTTGAAGACACTGCTAAGTAATAAAGTGCTACGTAATAAAATGACTCATGGTATTCCACCTTGAACACTGTACATCACTATCTCATGGTGAAATTGACAGTCTTAAGCGTGTAGATACTAAACTGACAGACATAAACATGTTTTTATATTTATAGTGCTAAAAGAAAGTAAAAAATAATTCTTAGGTTAAACAAGTCGTATACTCTATTTTTCTTTCTGGTATTCTACCTAAGGACTACCTTCTACGAAGTTTGACAGCCCAAACACAGCATGCACACAGAACTTTTCATGCTAATCTCGGCATACAGCGGAAGTTGATAATATTCAGCCCTTGATTAGGTAATTAACTTGCTGCAATCGTTTGTGAGGTTGAGACTTTGCGAACCAAAGATATGCATTTTAGTGTTTGCTATCAAAGTCTGAGCTCGAATTAACACCTGAACGCAAAGTTTTCGGTTTTATTCGTTTTGTGCACTTTCTGTAAGTTTTTCACTAAAATGATTGCTCAACTTTTGATCTTCGTTCATTCGCTCTCCCAACACTGTTGTAAGTTCAGGTTGGAATTCTAATATTCTTCTTTTCTGCCCTATGTATGTAGAGTGGAATGCAACCCGATGTTCTATGGTAATTATTGCTCATCTGGATGAGTACTATCACACCCCTTAATTTGAAAAACAATTTAGAATCACCCTGTATATATTATAATTTAAATTTAAATTCAAAACATACTTATCTTGCAATAAACAGCTGATAATAATTAAATAAATTATTTCGCATAAGCAGTAAATCATTGCGAAAAAATTAGAAAACGAGTGCTGCTTTGAAATTTTGTAAACAAAAATTGCAAAAATTAAAAATCAAGAACAATAAAAGAATAATTTACATTTCATGGTGCATCTTCTTTAGCAGAGGTCGTTGTATCGAGAGAAGTAAATGGATCAGTCTCTTTCTGAGATGGTAAAGACAGAAATTTATTAAATATAAAACTTCAGTTTGTGTCTAGCAAGATATACTAACAATATTTCTATTTTTCAGATTATTTATCTCAATGGCTGGTATCGAAAGTGATTGATTTGATGGTCCTTGTTGCTGTAGAAACCCTTTAAAACATCTGCAGAATATGAGAAATGAGAGGGAATTAAAGAAAAATTCCACAGTTTAATTTGTAAGTGTTTTACCTCATTTTTACTAAATACTTTATATGCTTCCACGTGTTTTCACCCTTTATAGCTAATTTTACCGCTTGAAAATCGAAAAGGCGAGATCCAATGCTATTTAGATCCAATGCGGGGTATATTTGATCTAAGTAGAGGCTTAAACAGTGAACTAATACGGTTCAAAAGCGCACATGAATTTGTAGAGGCATTAGGTATTTTTGGAAAAATCGGAGAGATGAAAAATTAACAGCGCCTTCGCCGGGAATCGAACCACGGACATCTGGAATACCGGCCCAGCATGCAGAACCACTACACCACAAAGGCACGCTAGGAAGGTAGGAGAAATACCTTATATACTCCCCCTTGTAAAGGACGACTCGGATTTTTAGAGAACCCAATCGCCAAAATCCTGGGTGTGGAGAATCCTCATCCAACACCCTTTTAGTTCGAGCGCCACTGTAGAGACATTAGGCATTTTTGGAAACGCCGGAGAGATGAAAAATTAACAACGCCTTCGCCGGAAATCGAACCATGGACCTCTGGAATACCGGCCCAGTGTGCAGAACCACTACACCACGAAGACACGCTAGGAAGGTGGGAGAAATACCTTATAAATTAAACATATTGTAAATGTTGCTTCAGTGGGACTTCTTTCTTATTATTCATCCATTGGACTACCAGCAAAATTTCTTTGTAAGCAGCTTAATTTAAATCTGGAGATTCATATTACCGATAAAGGCCTTCAACGGGGAAATTTAAAAGCATCTAAACAAGTAGAAAATCGCAGAGTGTATCTTCAATATACATGCTATCTTGTTATAATGTGGACCGCGTGGAGACAAGTTTCAAAAAGTTCCGTGTGCTAGCCGGAGTACCGGTTCTAGCAAAACACCTTTCGGCTATAAATCTTCCAGTGGTAGGATGAGGAGAACCCTGTTTCTTGTAAAAGTTTCATTTAGCCTTACGCGTCGTCAAATATGATATGATATACCCATTCATTCGGACCATTAGGTACTTTATTTTATTTTTGAGCAGGAGACGTGAAGTGTGTAGTGCTCTTGCAGAGATTCTAACTCTGGACCTTCTGACTGCTAATTGGATGTGCTTTTCGATTACACCACGAAGGCACTCTGAAAGAAGGAAAGAAAATCTTGCAAATCTCAAATTTTGACGTCTAAAATTCAGTCTTCTGAATGCAAGAGATTTTGTCACGTAATCATGGGATAAAGTGAGATCAAATACTATCCATAATTGATTTTAAAAACTTGAAGTATTTTATAAGCTGAAATCAAATGTGTTCTACCACTATCACAGGAAGCTATGCTAAAGATACAATTATAAGGTAGAATGAGATTTTACGGATCTACATTTCTGTCCATGCTTATTTATCGACTTTAAGAGTTCAATACAATGAGAGGGAGGATTACATATCGAATATAAAGAGAAATTACAATAAACAGAATATAATTTTTCTGGACTAGGAAGTACGAAAGAATACCTAATGAAGTAAAAGATGAAACATTTAACCATTGTTCAAAAGTTCAGAAAGAAATCTGAAAGCAGAAATCTTTGAAACAAACAGTTTCTACGTGAGAACTCTTTCCTAAACAGTAATTTCATTCCATAAGGTAAATGTTTAAAAATTTTGTCTTCATTCTGTGCATGTTAAATATCACTTACCTTTCATTTATTCTGTTACATTGCAGTGAGTACATAATCTTTTGAGTTCGATTGCACACGTGTATGCATATTTTTGAGTCTCGGGACGTTACAATGAATCTTGATGCTACTAACCTTTTCTTTGATCTTAGGGGATATCTGGTTTCGACTGTATATAGAAACTGATATATTTTCAACTCATTACAAGTATTTTTTACAATATTTTTGAGGAACTAAGAGCTACATGCTTCTATCATATTAGAATGATAATTAAAGATCTCAAGTTTGCGGATTTCTATGTCTTAGAAAATACTGAACTTAAGAATTGGCAGGTTTTTCACTTGATGAGAGAAAAAGATACTTACTCTTTTACTTTGGAGTTTCTTTGATAAATAAGCTACTAATTTTATATTCAAATGATCATCTCTCGCCTCTTTTTCTTGTCAATTTCTTTACATTAGTAAACGCAGGATGTACGCATTCCAACTGCTTAAAACGGTTGCAGAAGCTTCCATGGAAAGCTGAATAACTAAGCACATTATTTTCAGAATTCGATAGAAAATTATCATTTCAGTTATTAACCAAAAAGCTTCTTAGGTTATTGCAGCGTTAGTGTGTTTAACAAGGGTCTCCCAGCCAGGGTTTAAGTGGTTGCTATACCTCTGAATTGTCTAGAACAGCGTTTCTACTCTGTGGTAGTCGAAGCCTGCCCTTGTGGTCCGATTAGATTTTCAAACAAAAACAAAAAATGAAATTAAAATTTAACTGCGTATTCCACACTATAACTGAAAATCGCAGAGCTTGAAAATTACATATGGGTAATCGTCTATCCCTTTTTCTACTAAGACTGGTATCTTATGAAATTTGTTACCGGTTACTCTACTTACGGACTTCCATTCAAATCTTAGCAACGCAATAGGAATTTAAAGTGCTGTGATGCACTCGCTGTCCTTTCGTTGCATAACTCGCGCCACAGATGTTAACTAAGAGGAGACTGTCCCAGTTCATCAGAATGCACCGAAGTAACGAATCTTCCTTTCATGCGTTTACAAAATTCTTAATACATTTGCAGAAGCATTAAAATCTCACGTACTCTGCGCAAAAAACAGGAACTGGACCGATTAACGAAATTCAACTTGCGTTTTTCATGTCTCGCAAGCGCAACTTCGGATTAGATTTATATACAAGATTTATACATAACATTGTTCTAATATAGGTATTTTGACACAATCGAACTTTTTTTTAAATGACATGCCAATTCTTTTCCATATTTTGATTCTACGACTCTCCATATTTTGATTATGCCAAACTGGCAAGGTTTGTAAAAATCGCACGAGTTGTTTTTAAAAAATTAGCTCTCAAAATTGTAGCTCCTTAGTGTTAATTGAATTTGGTATATATTTATTAATATCTCTTTTTCTTTTTAATCTTATTTGATTCTTCCTTTCACATTTCAAAATTCAGGTTCATTTCGAATAAAATTCGCCTATGTTTTGTAATTTATTTTAAAAATTTGTATTTTTAAATAATTTTTATAAATTTTTCGAAAAACATTTTGAATTATCATCTGTAAAATTTTTACCATCATCTTAAAGTAGATGTATTGCTATGCGTACCTGCGAAAAATTAGAGTTTTTTATTCCAAATTTCCTAAGATATACTTGATATACGTACTTTTAAAGTAGTTAAAGTAAATATGCAGATATTTCTCTTTCAAACTGAGTTACCGTGTTTATTTTAGAAAGTTGTGAAACTGCTCTTAGAATGCAAGCAAAACAATTTTTAAAGCTAGAATATTTATCTAATACTTCTCCCTAATGAGTCACAGCTATACGAACTGTTCCCTTTTTTTTTTTTTTTTTTTTTTTTTTTAACTTTTCTTGGGTTGTATCTTTACTTTTGAAATGATTCTCGTTTACTTTTATTTCAAATCAAACTGGGTAACAAATAACTGGCTGAGATCCTCTTTTTCTTTAGATTATAAAACCAGCTCTTTTGCTTTATAAAGAGAGCACTTCACTACGCCTAGCAATGCTACTGGAAAATCTGTCCACAACTGAAAATTAGTAGAGGACATATGCTAGTGTGTTAGCTTCAAAGTCTTGTAATATACTGCCGGAAAAAAAATGTAACATACTTTTAAAGTAAGGCAAAAATCAGATTAAAATCTAAATGAGTAAGGATTTGACTGTTGAACTTAACGTAAATAATGAAGCTAGTTTTCAGTATCAAGCACACGCAGAACCTGAAAGCAAGAGAAAAATCTGCTTATCAATTTTTATATTACAGCAGTTGAGTGCATTCGTAAAATCATATATAATTTGCAAATCATTTAAATTTTCCTTCTAATTGCAATTTAAATACTACGATTTAGCTGTATATTCTAACAGTGATATAAACTGTTATTTGAACATGTGAGCACATAGACAGACCTGTGTCTCATAACATTTCTATATATAGTGCAGATATTTATCCTTAATTAAATGGCCAGCTCCTAACGTTTTTCACCATAAAGTAGAAAACGATGTTTTCCTAAGACATTTAAATTGATCAACCAGTATCTAGCCTCGATGCTGCCATTTGAGATATGAAAAAGGCATTTTCACCACATGCATTCTAATGAAATAAAGTGTGGAAAAGCTAGGAAGGCCTTGAAACCTTCAAATTTAGATTATTTCGCCTTCATCCACTCATTTGCATTCAATTCCAAATTGCTATTACTTTCAATAGACACTGAAAACTACATCATGCCTATTGATATGCGATTTTATTTTTAAAAGAAAATTTCATACTTAATAAAATTCGTATTTCAAGGTTTTATTTACTTACTTTACTCTGAATAAAAGTGCCATTATTTTCCTTGATCTTTTTCCTTACCTATCACAAGCTGCACATGCAGATATATTTTGTTTAATAGAAATATCAATAATAAGATAATTGTTTCCCAGAAAACAAAAATAGGCTTTTTCTAAAAAATATACCAGATACCTGTCATTTGCCATGTTTTGCATTATGCTCACATAAATCATGAGTAATTAGTTAAAAGGTTGTAGAATCATTAAGGTTTTTTTAATGCGGGAGATGTGAAAAATGTGCAATGCCTTTGCCGGGACTCGAACCTGTAACTCTCTAAAACTTCCTGAGTGTGCTAACCGTTACACCACGAAGGCATGCAGCAAGAAGGCAGAAAATGTCTTATATACCCCCCTTTTAAAGGGCAACTAGAGATTAAGAAACCTAGTCGCCAAATTCTGATGGTGAAGAATCATCATCCACCACCTTTTAGTTCGGGAGCCACTGTAGAGTCATTAGGATTTTTTTTAATGTGGGAGACGTGAAAAATGTGCAG